TGATTCATGGTCTCCTGGGGAGAAGGATAAAGAGGGTAGACACACCCCTGATCTATAGGCAGAAAGTGACTAACAACCAGGAAGCATGGGGGCTCTAACCATGGCAGGAGCCTGGCTCTTTGGGAGGAGTGGGGCTGGGAAGAGTCAGGTTTATGGAAACCCCTGTCTACCCCCTTTAAAAACAGACATGGAGGTGAGTGTCGTCTATGCAGAGGGTATGACACGAGCAAAGGCACTGAAGTAGGATGTGATGTATCAATCAGCTCCCATCTATGAAGTCCCATCCGTGAGGCGGGCATCCAGCTGGCCTCACTGCACGTTTCGCTCAGTCCTACACACCCGGGAAGGTAGGCCTCGTGCACCTCAAGGTGTCTTAAGAGTGAGGAAGTGAGGGTCAGAGGCTCTAATCTAAAAGGAACCTGTGTAAAGTCTCACGGCTCCCAAGTGGCAGAGTCGGGATGAGCACCCGGTTTGATACAGCCACGGAGGGAGGAGTCCAAGGATGCTCAGAGCAGCTTTCTTCATAACCCAAACCAGAAACAAGCCACGTGTCCATCAGTAAGAATGGATCCGTGTGGTGTGGTCATGCAACGCAATACAATTCATTCACGTGTAAAAAACAACTACAGATACAACATCGTGGTGAATCTCAACAATATCATGTGGAGTGAAATATGCAGAGGGTATCACACACAAGACTATGCACTGTATCATTCCATTCACATGAGCTTCAAAGAACAGGCCAAATGAACGTGTGGTGACAGGAATGAGAAGGTGGCTGCCTGAGGGGATGGCTGGTAGGACTCCCGGGGCCCTCGTGTCATATGTGCCTGTGTGGTCTGAATTTTGCGTAATGAGCATGTGTTATTTCTGTAAACCCCCAAACAATAGACGCTTTAAAAACAGGATTCTCAGTTTACAACGTACATTCAGTCCAGTCCGGTTCAGAGGCCCTCACTGGACCTAATGATAGGCCAGGCCCAGGGCGGGTGGAGAGGCAGCTTCTACGTGGGAGAAGAGCAGAGGCTGTACAGGCAGGGAGACCACCTGCTGTGTGGCCTTGGGAAAATCAAGGAATGTCTCTGAGCCTCATTCTTCTCCTTAACAAACATGTGACAGTAGCTATGAGATGGCAGTGAAGGGACAGATGTGGAGGTCTGGGCTGAGGTCACCCCTGGGTGTCATCTCACATGGTCCCTCAGCAGCCCCTTACGGTGGGTACCGTGAGCATCTCCATTTTACAGAAGAGGAAACTGAGGCTCTGAGAGGGGGACTGGAAAGTCCGGATCACACTAAGCGTAGGCAGCAGAGTCCAGATGCAAACTCTGTCTGGGTCCCAGGTCAGAACCCTGAGCCCCGTCCTGTCCACTCCCCCTGCCCACCCCTTCCTCTGTCCAGATGGGGGGGGTGTCACTGTCCAGACTTGACAGCCACCTCCGTGGCTCCTGTGTTTGTCACTTGTCTTTCCCACTACAAGGCCAGGCCCACCAGGGCAGAGACTTGGCTTTGTTCACTGTCATATCTCAGTCACTACAACTGTGCCTGGCACAGAGCAGGTGCCACACGACCATTTGTTGAGTGAATTAGTGAAAAAAATGAAAGAATTCCCTAGTGAAGAACCAAAGAACGTGGCCTGGGGCTCATGGAGGTAAAGAGTCAGCCCTTCAAGGTCACAGGGCTGAGAAGGACCTGGGCCAGATCCCCCAACTCCCAGCAAGCCCCGCCTCTCCCAGATACAACGGCCTGTTTGTCAACACCTGTCACCTGAGACCCAGGAAGAAATCAGTCTGGTGCAGGGAAGGGTCAGGACGAAAGTGAAGATGGCTCCATCGTTTCTGGCTGGACTTCTGCCTGCAGTGTGTTCGTGCCTCAGTTTCTCAATGGAAGAGGAGCCCGTCACCTGCTCACATGAGGTGAAAAGGATTCTGGGAACAAGCAGGGCTGGTCCTGCCTGCCTCTTTGCTCCCTCAGCAGGGGCTGGGCCGACCTGCAGTGCCTGAGGTGCAGCCAGTCACACCTGTGCTTGGAGGAGAATGGACTGTTTTGTGAGAAGGTCTGTCCAACAGAGCCACAGGGTCAGAGCTGGGAGGCCCGTTTTTCTGACACCATCACTACAGACTGGATGGGAGACCAGAGGCCCAGAGAAGAGGTGTCTGAACCCGGGTGTTGCTCAGCTCAGGGCTGTCTCCTCCCTAAGCCCAGGTGACTGACACCAGGGGAGGTTCTGTCTTCTCCACCTGGGTGTCTGCTCCCATTACTGTGTTCCGGCCATAGGAAGCCAAGTTTCTACATGGATGAGATTGCCAGGCAGGTCAGGCAGGGCCGCCAGGTCTGGCCACAGAGGTCTAGGAGAGGCCTATGGCCACTGGGTCCCACAAACTGCCACTGATGGTCAGGGACCTGGCCGGCACCAGGCCTGGCTTCCCAGGAGCCAGATGAGGCCGATAGGAGAGGAGGAGCAGGAGGCAGCAGGTGTGGGAGCCGGGGCGTGGGAGCTGATAGCACAGCGACTCTGCTATTAGACTCCATGTGGCTCAGGGGCCTGGGGCCTGGGCCTCCAAACAAGAAAAGAGTCCTGCTAGGTATCTAATCCCCACATCAGTCTAGGTAATTACCAGTTGAAACCACTCTCACTGAGAGTTCTACTAGTGCAATTAGTATGTCAGAATAAAGAAGTCACTGACAGCCGGCTGGGCCCGCCCACAGCTGGGCTTCCACTGAACAAGGACCAGGTTGTTGGTCCCACCGGCCTTAGATCTTATGAAACACACAGAGGTGGTGGAGGAAGAAGCTGGGGTTTGGAATCCTCAGCCTAGATGATGACATGGACATGCTGTGTGGCCTGGGCTGGCCATTCAACCTCTCTGAGCCCATGAAATGAGGCTGGTAACACAGCTTCGCATGGCGCTGCATGGATGAAACAAGGAGTTCTAGAGCTATGGACGTTCAAATGCTAGTTTTTATCCTAAAAATTGGTGGTAATGCCTTTGGCTGGCTTTTAAAATCTGTTTCTGGGTTTCACATGCATATAAGACACATGGGACTTTCCTGTCACATCTGAACCAGGGCTGGGAAGTAGCTGGGAGGGACCAGAGTCAGTGATGAGGCCCAGATTCATCCTCAAAGAGGAGCTGACTTTCTGCTCCTCCCAAGTATCAACCAATCACACCACGACTCTGAGGATGCTCTGATCACTAGGGGCCCCTTTTATATGGAGGGGCCTGCGGCTCAGAGAGGGGAGGGACTTGCCTAAGGTCACACAGCAGAGTCAGAGGGGGCCAGGTCTTCCTGAGCTCAGGGCCCTGCTTGATCCACAGCAGCAGCTCCCATTAGGGCTGTGCACGCCTTGACCCAGGGGCCGCTGGTTGAAGCAGGACATGGGCTGGGCGCTGACTCACTCTAGGAGATGGCTCCCTTGGGGCATTTTCCCCGTGACTCCATCCACAGCTCTTCTTGGTCCCGAGCCCTGGGTCAGCTTGTCCCCAGTACAGAGCTCCAGCCTCAGTTCCACATACTCTCTGTCCCTCGTCCCCACCATGCCCTCTAACCAGGGAGGCAGCATCCAGAACCCAGTGACCCAAGTCCTGTGCCTGGCACTGGGCTCTCTGCAGAAGTTAACAGCTGCCTCCTACTGCTCATTGCCTCACCTCAGCCCACCATCAGCCCTCCTTGGCTGTGCCCTCTTCCTGCCCTCCTGCAGGAAGCAAATGGCTGAGGGCCTCACAGTTCCTGCTGCTGCTCCATCCCCTGGTTCCTCTGCCTGGGCCACTCTGAAAGCTCCCTCCACCCTGAGAGCCTGGTGCCCCGACAGCAGACATGTCCTTAAGGACCAGAAGTAGAGCCAAGCAACCTGGGCCTGCCCTGGCTGGGCCGCCGAGAGGCCCTGCTATCCCGGCTGTGACAATGCCTCTCCCCGCCTCACTGTCCTCATCTGGGATGAATGTCATGGCTGGTAACTGGGCTCTTGGGAGGACTGGGAGAGGCTGTGGGTGGAGGGAGGCTGGTGGCCTTGGCAAGGTCCTCTCCCTGCTCTCAGACCCTCAGCTCTCCTCACCTCCCCACCTCGAGCCAAGTTGCAGTTCTTGGGTCCCCAGGTCCAGTCTGGTGTCTTTCTGAGCCCAGGCCCCTGCCCATCACTGGCCACAGACAGGAGGCAGAAGGGACGGGGGACATGATTGAACATTAAGGAGAGTTTAGTAATGGAAAAGGTATTTCTGAGAACTTTAAGGGTAAATGGCTCCAGATGTGGCTGCAGAGGGGAAAGCTGGGCTTTGCCTGGGAGAACAATGAGGTCCAAGCTGCCCATCGGGCCATTGCACAGGCCTGGACACACTGCATGTGAAGCGGGTCCCAGGCTCTGGGCGTGGTGACAGAGCACAGACTGCCCCACTGAACTGAGGCTGCACCTTCCCACCTGGTTCTGACAGCTACACCCCCGCCTACAGGCTGCCGGGAGGCTGCTGTGGACTCAGGACACTGGGTGCTCCCTCGGCTCTGGTCATTTTGGCGATGTGACGGGTGCTCTACAGTGAACTTTGTCCCTTTCCTCCTACTGCCCTGATCACAGGACAGCATGGCAGCCTGTTTACTCATCGTCTCCCAGGACTGGACTGTCTTCCCGGCACTGCCCAGGTCCACCTGACGGCACATGATTCCTCCCTTTGGGTGTGTTTGGGGGCGGATGACTGTACTCGCCCTGGGACTCGAATTCCTGCGTCTGCTCCGCCCCACCCACAGCTCACGGACCCCCGACCCGTAGACCTGGCCCCGCTGACCCGGGCAGCCCCAACTCCCCTGCGGGGCCCTTGTCCACCACACGGTCACTCCTGGCTCACCGCCGGAGCACCCACTGTCCGAGGCTGGGCACTGTCCCCTGCAGCCCGTGCTCCTGCCGAGGGGCCACCCTGGGGGGCCCGGACCCGCTGGCTTCCCACGCGCGCATCCTCGCGGAGGTCCCGGGGCCCCGCGGATAACCGCTGCCCACGCGGCCCCGCACTCACCCATGTTGACGAAGCTCATGACCAGGTCGGCGCGGCCCAGGCGCCGCTCGCGAGGACCCCCGTCCTCGTCGTCGTCGCGGGCCATGGCGTGGTAGAGGTCCAGCATGAAGAGCGGCGCGGACGCGGGCAGCCGGACGGCGGCGGGCGGTGCGCGGGGCCGGGGGCGCCCGGGCAGCCCGAGCACCGCCAGGATCTCGCGCTGCAGGTCGCGGCGCTCGCGGGGGCCCAGGCGGCGGGGCGGGCCGCCGGTTGGGGGGCGCGGGCCGGGGCCGCCGCCGCTCAGCGCGCACAGCGCCAGCCCCAGGAGCCACAGCGGCCCGGGGCGCGCGGCCATGGCAGGCGGGACGCCGCGCTCACCCGACGCGCATCCGCTTCGCCGCGGCCCGGGGCTGAGGGACAGGACGGGCGGGAGGTGCCCGCGGCGCAGCGCCGTCCCCAGAGAACCCGCGGGCACCTGTCGCGGCTCTGGGCCGGTGGCGCGGACGCCAACACCTGCGGCAGCAGCCACTCGGGGACTGCGGGCCGCCGGCTAATGTGTCCGCCGCCGCCGTGCCCTGCAGCCGGGCCGCCGACGAAGCCGCGCAGTCCAGGCGCTCGGGGAGGTGCGGACCCACGAGCTCCGCTCAGCACAACCCGCGGGCTCTGCCGCGCGCCCCGCGGCTGCCAGGTCCAGCGCCCGGCCTTCGGGCCCCGCCCCCTCCGGGCCTGGCCAATGGGAGCGCGGGGCGGGGGCGGGGCCAAGGCCCAGAGCCCACCTTCGTGGTGAGAGCTCGGAGTCGTAATTGATGTTGTGGGCGGTGCGCTCGGGAGACGCGACCGGGTGGGTGGTGGGCAGGTCCGACCAGGGAAACACAGCTCAGCTGTCGGGGTCGGCAGGGTCGTCCCGGGCTGCCCTCGCAGCCGCTGGCCACGCCATCGGGCGGTTCGGGGCCGCTGTCCGAGGGCTCCAGGGTAGCGGCGGGTCAGGAGAAACCGAGAACCTGCGCTCCCGCAGGGCGTGTCCTTGCGCGCCCTCCCGCGGGCGGGAATCCCGGGTCTGGGTCTGGCCAGCGAGGGACCCGGCAGCCCCGCCTTGGTGCGCTGTGCAGCCCCAGAACCAGAAACGAGGCCTCAGTCCCGTCTGGAAGAGCCCCGTGAGTGCCAGCCAGGCCCGCAGAGTGGGCGCCTGCTTCGGCCACCACAACCAGCCTGAGTGTCCCGCCACTGGAGCTCCTGGCCGGCCTCCTGGCGCCCTCCCCGCAGTCCTTTGGGCGCGCCGCTTAGAGCTTCTCCTTCCCGGAAGCCTACTCTATCGCTGCTGCGGGGACCCCCACCTCCTGGCTCCTGCTGGTCCAGCTCGCGCTGTGCCTGCTACTGACCCTGGTGCACCCGCCTCCAGCCCTGCCAAGGAGCCCTGGGACCCTCTGCAGGCCTGGGAACCGCCTATGCGCCATCTTAATTGTCAAGGCCCAGGTGGCTTGCAAGAGGAGGCTCCTCAGGGAAACTCCAGGACTGACTAGTGTGGAGAGAAAGGGGTCACACACTAACCCTGACAAAGTCAGGGGAGGCCCGCCTGCGAGCCTTCAAACTCGGAGACGGAAAGTAACCATATAGGATGGTCTGAACATAAAAATTCCCAAGAGTTGGCGAGGGCTTGTAGTCACATCCTAGCTATTCCTGTGGTTTCCTTGATTTGACAAAGGTCAATCTTTACATAAGTCAGCCTGTGTATTGTCTTTTTGCATAAAATAACATGCCTTTGAAATGTCAGAGTAATTTCCTTTCCCACCCCCCCCCCCAGCCCCAAGTCACACCCATACCTGTTTTCTTCTTCCCCAAATACCATTTCTATGTGCTGTGTTACTTACGAGCTATCCTGTACCCACCAATGTAAAAGAAGTGTTTTACTTTTTATCCAATCCCAGAGATTTCCCCTGCGTTGCTTTCTCCCACCCCTTAATCTGCCATCAATGAATTTCATGTAACCCATTTTTATGTTTCCTTTGATTCTAATGTATAAAGTAAGCTACAAAACTGCCAGGAACCAGAAAATTTTTCTCAAATTGTTGAATTTTTGCTTCCTGGCAATTGTCGTCAGTTTGATGCAAATAAACTCATTAAAATTCTCTCCAGGTTTGGACATTCCTTATGTCGATACCAGTTCCCTTATGCACAGCCTGCTCTTCTCTAGGCGCGTTCTCCGTACACTTGTTCATTTATGTTAAGGTGCTGTGCTGAGGGCAAGTACCTCCTAGACCAGCGGTTCTCAACCTGTGGGTCGCGACCCTTTTATCGGTCGAACGACCTTTTCACAGGGGTCACCTAAGACCATCCTGCATATCAGATACTTACATTACGATTCATAACAGTAGCAACATTACAGTTATGAAGTAGCAACGAAAATAATTTTATGGTTGGGTCACAACATGAGGAACTGTATTTAAAGGGCCAGAAGGTTGAGAACCACTGTCCTAGACTGAGTTCAGAAGGCTGGAAGGAACTGGTTGGGACGACAGGAAAGGTCAGTGGGAGGAAAGTGTTCCAGGAAGAGGAAATAGTTTAAGGCCATGAGATAGAAAGGAGCATTGAAGTATGGTAGCAACCATCTCAGGTAGAAACTGTAGTTTAACTCTAACCCTGCTGTTTGGCTTAACAATAGAAAAGTTATTTTGATTTTCTGAATTGTATACATCATCCCATTCGATTGAATGACTATCCCATTGATTGTTATCTTACTGGTTTTAGAAAGCACATTTTTCTGTACCTGGGAAACAGGACAGCACAATTATCCTAAATTGTTTTAGTGGTCACAGATAATGCATTCCAGTTGACTCAGTGGTCCCAAGACCAGGACAGCACAATTACTCTAAATTACCTCGATGGCTCTAGATAATGAGTTCCTGGCAACTCAGTGGTCTCAAGACCCGAGGGCTCTAGATAAGGTGTTTCTGTCAATTCAGTGACCCCGAGACCCAAACTATAATTAACATGCTTAATTCTGCTTCTGTAAACTGCTTTTTTGCAAACCAGGTTCCTCATTCCAAACCTTGAGATGTAATCAATACCTTTGTGATCTTTGCCTATATGTCTGGTTTTGCCACCATCTTATCACTATGAGATTTGGGGAATGGCCCCTCATAGTCCTGATTGCAATAAATGACTCTTTAATTCGACTTCTTGAGGCGTCCTTCTGTAATTCGCGGGGTACATTACAACAGCATAACAATGGTAGGTAACGACTTGCACTCACACGTGCCAGGTATGGCCTGTATCACTTCTTCAACACTCACACATTTAAACCCCTTTTAGCACATGAGGAGACCGAGGCACACAAGGTCAAGGGATTTCCCCTTACCACACTGCAGTGGAGCTGGTTGGGACAGGTGTGCTGCTCAGTAGAGCCTGGAGAACCTGGGGGTCAAATGGCAAGGCTGAGGGTGAGGCTGGAGGGGTTGGCAAGCCTCAGCCACAAAAGGCCTTGAGGGGAGGCCAGATGAGGACACCACACTGTTATGGTGCCCCGATGTGGATTCAAGATTGAACCTCAAAATAAGTGATGTCCAATAAAATTCACATTTTTCCATGATCACTTCAAACTTTAAAAAATAACAAATCTTAAATCTAAACAATCATTTGCTGGAGCCTTAAGCCCATGCCTCGTCTGTCTGCCTTTTACCCAAAAAATTTCCAGTTTGTGAATCTGGATGAGAAAGCTGCAGATTAGCCATTGAGAGTGCCTGGGGCAAGACCAGAGCCTGGATGCAGAGGGAACTAGGGATCAGAGGGAGGGACACTGGAGTCAGGCCCACAGTACATTAGTGGGAAAGGATGTAGAGCAGTGGGTCTCAACCTTGGCTGCACATTACAATCACCTGGGAATTTTTTTAAAATCCTGATTTCTGGGCTTCATCCCCCGGAAATTCTGTTTGTTACTTATGTTGTGGCCCTACCACATACAAGGCCAAAGTTAACAGAACCTCTCCAGATTTTATTACCTCTTTAGCTTGAACTAACTGAAATCAACTGAGGTCCCCACCCCATAACAAAGAAACAGAATTTCCGGAGGATGAGGCCCAGAAATCAGGATTTTAAAAAGATTCCCAGGTGATTCTAATGTGCAGCCAAGGTTGAGAACCACTGGTGTAGAGGGATGACAATGATCCTCTAATGGTGATGGGGTGAAGGGCAGAGACACTGGTTAGGAGGCTGAATCCACAGGACTTGGTGACTGCACACAGAGGCACGGGGCAGAGTCAGAGGATGTCCCCGTGTCAGGCTTGCAGGGTCTCTGAAGCTCCTGCCCTTCACTGTCGTCCTTCGTGTCCCAGGGCATCCCTAGGCGCACCCCCCCCTCCCCCCGCTTGAGTCCACAGCATTTGGGGACTGGGATGCAGCCTGTAATTCTCAGGTTGTATATTGCACAATGCTGGGCTTCTAGCTAGACTGCAAACAGCCGGGGGAGGGGTGCACTGATTCTTGTAATGGCAGAATTCATCTCAAATTAAGAGTAGGGATAGCTTTGTTCTTTAAGCAATAGCTTCACATTCCCATAAACCAATGGACTGCTCTGGGCTGTGCCCTGAATCAGAGATGAAGCTAACCAGCAGCCCCCCCCTTGAACAAGGGTGATAAATGAGCAGTCTTTTCTGAAGGCAGAATGAAGGTTGTGCTCTGAGAGAGGGCTGGCAAATGCCTGGAAGGGAAGAGGAAGTTGGGGGTGGCGATGAGTGGAACCCTGGAACTGGAAGGTGACTGAAGTAGGGAAGGCTTCTTGGAGAAAGTGCATTAAACAAGGGCTTTCCCCAGCCACTTGGCAACTCTGACCTTGGGCAAGGTCTGTGACCTTAACCTCGCTCAGGCTCAGTTTCTCGCCTATAAATGGGGCTCCTGATTGTAGGATTGTGATGGGAATTAAATGAGAATGTCATCAGGTAAAACAGGGACTGGCATACAGTAAGCACTCAATAAATGTTAGCTATAGTCCTTCAAGGCCCCAGGAACTCCTACTCATCCTCTACACACCAAACTTGCATTACTTATTTAGCACTTGTCCCAGAACCGTAATTTTACTTTAACCTCTTTTCTGGTATCCTTATATTCCCCACAGTCTTGCACACAGGTGTCTGCTGGATGGAAATATACTTTCTGAAGATTCCACCAGTAGCTGAGCTTTGTCGCAACTGAGTATGCAAACCTGTGCCCTTGTTGAAGAAAAACAAGTGCCCGTGGTCCAGACTCTGAACAGATGGAGACAAAGCTGTTTTCAGCATGTTTCTGCAGCCAGGAGGCCGAGGGGGACACAACTTTGGGTGAAAATGCCATCCTACACGAAGTCCTGGAGTCTTAGTTACTCGATTCCATGGAGAACAGAGTAAGCATGTCCTTCAGAAGCTGCCAGGCTGCAGGTCCCTTTGACTCTGGGTATTTAGTCTCAAGCAGCTTTGGCAAACACGGTCCATTTGACCAAATTCCCGAATCACAAGAGTGTGGCCTAGTGAGTAAACAGGTGCCCGAGTTTGAACTGCTCTGGCTTTCTGTTTATTTCCTAGGCCCGTGGTCGGCAAACTGTGGCTTGCGAGCCACATGCGGCTCTTTGGCCCATTGAGTGTGGCTCTTCCACAAAATACTGACTTCTGCGCACGGGCCACGAAGTTTCAATCACACTATACG